TTTTATTTTAAATCGTGGTGTTTGCAGAAATTTATAATTGCACTTTTGATGAAATGAGTTAATTGTTACATAAACACTGCAATTCTGTTAAGAATTTTAAAATGATTTAGCAGAATTGAAGTTATGAATTTTGATGAAATTAATTAATTATTATTATATTAAATTTGGTTAATTGGATCCAATCCGCAATGATAAGGTTATCTCATATTTGGGATGATTTTACTTTTAAAAATGATATAAATTTAGTTATCTCATATTTGGAATGATTTTCAATAAATATTTGATTTTATTTTACATCAAGATAAATTTAAATAATTTATAATTATTTTACCGATTTGGTTCATATAAAATATTCAATATTGATCATATTTGGAATGATTTTGAATAATATTTGATTTTATTTTAAATCGTGGTGTTTGCAGAAATTTATAATTGCACTTTTGATGAAATGAGTTAATTGTTACATAAACACTGCAATTCCGTTAAGAATTTTAAAATGATTTAGCAGAATTGAAGTTATGAATTTTGATGAAATCAATTAATTATTATTATATTAAATTTGGTTAATTGGATCCAATCCGCAATGATAAGGTTATCTCATAAATGGGATGATTTTACTTTTAAAAATGATATAAATTTAGTTATCTCATATTTGGAATGATTTTTAATAAATATTTGATTTTATTTTACATCAAGATAAATTTAAATAATTTATAATTATTTTACCGATTTGGTTCATATAAAATATTCAATGATTATATAGTCTTTTTTTTTTTTTTAATGTAATAGTGCATAAAAAATATAGATTTTAATAATTTTTTTTTTCAAAAAATGTGGCGATATATTTATTTTTCATACTGTTTCATATGGAAAAGTATAAGAAAGTTAAAGAATTAATATATGCCTTTTAAGGACAAATTTCAATATGCCAATACATTTACAGAATTATGATATTATTATGCCAAAAGAATACCAAATGTAAATAACAACATATACCTCCACATCTTCAAGCACAGATTCTAAGGTTGCTCCGCGGTTATTCTTGACTTCGTAGAGACGAATCAATCGTACTTTTATTGCCCACACAACACTGTAAGTGTTTATTTTATTCAATAAAATAAAAGTAGGAGCCATTATATTATATGTAGATTATTTTACACGGAGAATATTTATCTAAACCAGTGAGATACAATGAAATATATGAAATTGGTAGTGGTAATATGTTTCTTGAAATGCTTGATTTATATAGTGGTAGTGGTAGCCAATGTTGCAAAAATCCCGCCTAGGCACCGATTAATCAGTGCCTAGGCGCTAGGCGCTGGCCAGCCGCCTAGCGTATCACCATAATCGATGGTCTAGGAGCCTAGCTGGCTAGGCAGCCGACTAGGCCGCCTAAGTGCCGTCTAGGCCACCTAAGTGCTGTCTAAGCCGCCTAGGCACTGACCGCCTAGGCCTCCTAGGCACCGACTAGGCTGCCTAATCGGCCAATTAACTATTGTTCCATTATTTTTTAAATGAGTTTTTTTCACTCAAAACGACATCATTTTGAGCGAAATAACCCTAAATTGTTCAAACTCTAGATGTTTTTAGGTTAATATTTATTATTTTAGTATTAACTATTAATATGTTAAATAGTTTATAATTATCAAGACTTAAAAACTTTAAAAAAAAAAAAATTAAACGAATTTTTTTGAAATAAAAAAATACACGGACGCCTAGGTGCCGATTAATCCCCGCCTAGGCGATAGGTGCTCCCTGAGCGCCCATTTTTCAACCATGGTGGTAGCATAATTGAAGTTAAGAAATTTGATGAAATTAATTATTATAATATTATATTTGGTAAATTGGCAATGATTTTTGTATAATTGATTTAACATTTTTGTAATTATGTATATAAAGTATATGTAAAATAAATTAGCAGAATTGAAAGAATTGAACTAATTTGAATTTTTGAAATAACAAATACGGAGAAATGAAATTAATTATTATAATATCATATTTGGTAAATTGGCAATTTTTGTATAATTGAAGAATTGAAGTTGGGTTGTAAAATGATTTAGTAGAATTGAAGTTGATTTAGTAGAATTGAAGTTAGAAAATTTGATGAAATTAATTATTATAATATTATATTTGGTAAATTGAGTTTTCGTTAAAAAAAATATTTGGTAAATTGACAATGATTTTTGTATAATTGATTTAGCATTTTTGGTAATTATGTATATAAAGTATATGTAAAATAAATTAGCAGAATTGGGATGAATTTTTTTTTTTTTTTGGGGGGGGGGGGGGGGGAATTTTGACTATCATTTTGCTTTAATATATATAGAGATAGAGATATGTTACTTTCACATAGAAAATATGAAATCATGCTTTATTTTTAAAAATGATTTTGCACACATAGCACATAGACATTCAAACAACACTCGGACCAAGTTTCCCGAGCCTCGCGAGTCTCCCGGACTCACAAGTTTAGTCTTTAACCGGACCTTATAGGCAGAACCCAGAGGTCCTGCACTTAGGGCTCGTGGCCGCATGGAACTGCACGGCAGGACCAGCTCTCAGGGCCCCTGGCCGCACGGAACTACGCGGCAGGACCTTGAGTCCCGTCGGGAAGTACTGCGGTAGTCACGGCTTAGGGTGGCGGCACTTGTTGGCCCGCCACCCATAGCCAACCACAACAATTTGTTTTGAATTGTTAACCAGTTAAGCATGTAGTATCCCAGCCCAAAGAGTATATATGGGCAAATTATTGTGTGGACCATGGTCCACACAATGTTATGTGAACCATAACAAAAAGTACATTTTTAATATACTAAATGTCCATTATACAATATAATGTACACTCAAAACAAAAATAATGTACATCCCCTGAATACAATGTACATTATTTTTGTACTGAATGTACATTATTTTACCGTAGACAAAATATGATCCAAACAACTTGTGTGGACCATATGTATGTGTAAATTTACATCATTGTAATTTGTAAAGTCTAGCAAATTCTAAAAGCTGGCTAATTTGTATAAGAATGATTGGTATATATGTATATGTAAATTTACATCATTGTAATTTGTAAAGTCTAGCAAATTCTAAAAGCTGGCTAATTTGTATAAGAATGATTGGTATATATGTATATGTAAATTTCCATCATTGTAATTTGTAAAGTCTAGAAAATTCTAAAAGCTGGCTAATTTGTATAAGAATGATGACATAGAAAGAATGAATGATGCACGTAACAAATCTTGAAGATTAGACGCAACAAGACGTTAGTGCGGGGTTTAATTTGCTCTGCAACTAACCTTTCCCATAATCTCTCTCAAATAACTCTTCTCTTTTTATCTCGTGATGGTGGAACCATTCAATTTTCCTAAGAAAAGAAACCAACAAAAAACACACAAAGTGACATCCATCTCACAAAAGCACGACTTATCGTCAATTCTGGGAAGCTAAGAAAGATAAAGCAAACAGCCACATAACGTACGAGACGAACAAGCAAGCTACATATGTATAGTATGTTCGTGATGTTGTTTTCTTATAGTCTTTCTAATGCGTTATGACATGCAGTACCTTTAATGTGGTCGTGCTGCTTGCTTGGGCATTTTACTTGCTTTATTTGTATTATATGAACATACATTATATTTGTCCTTTTCTTTCCTCTTTACTTTGGTGCATGGTCTTGATAAGATGTGTATCTATCTCATCTATTCAAACTCATTATTGTTGCAACCTTTTCTGTCATAATCATTAGAGAGAATCATATACGTACAAGTAATTTCAATATGATATGTTAAATTATATTGAAGCAGGATTTACGTATTCATCAATGTCCATCTACATGAAGTGATTGTGGATTTCTTCGTTGTCCAAATATGATATTATAGGTATAGACATGTTAATCAGATATTTTTTGTGTTAATTGTTAGTGTGTATTTTTGATATAATATTTTTATAATAGGAAAATAGTGTGTTGCATATTTACATTATATTTAATGGTTTGCATTCATTGTTGGGAAAGTTGAGATTTTTTATCAACCGAAGAAGAAAGTGGTTAGAAGTGGGAAGCGTAAGATTGGATAAAAAGTAAGTTTTCGATCTTTTTGAGAATTACGAAGAATATATAATTGTTGCTATTTTCAAACACTAGTGGTGTTATTCATCACCAACAAAAGGTTATTTAAAAATTTAATTTGAACGACCAGATCAACGAGGTACGAGGATGAGCACGGAGTGTCAGAATTTTTGATCACTACGTGGTAAGAAATAATTTTTTTTTAAGGTAATAAAATTTTCCAATCATCACTTAGGGTAATTAGAAGAGAAATATTTATGTCTATACTTTTTGAGTGATCAATAAAATAGTAAAAGATAAACTATTGGTAATTAATCAAGTGACACATTATATTAAGAAAGTAAGAAAGAGATTTGCTATGCAAAGAGAGCTTGCGTGTTGATCCACTAGTGTACTAAAGAATGACTACAGAAAGTCTCTTCAATTAAATTTTTAAGTTCAAGTTACCTATTAGTTTTGTTTCAGAACGCATATTCGAGTAATCGTTATATATATATATTCAAATGAGAATAAGGCTTCTTGTGCGATTGGTGCGGCTTGCACCATTACGTATGCATAAATGTCCCACACAATGTTCGAAAATGCACCAGAATGAAATACCACAAAATGTACTACACACAACAAAAATGCACCACACATAATGGTATATTTCAAACATGCATATATATATATATATATATATATATATATATATATATATATATATATATATATATATATATATATATATGGTATGTATCACAATTTACTTTGGAAAAGCAAGCAGATGAGTGATTGTCCAGTGTTCCACTACAATTTGTAAAAGCTAGCAAAGAGGCGGCCATGATATAGAATCTTGGTCAAGTAGAGCAGTGCCCCCATCCCCACCTTATTGGTGCTTCAATGGCTAATTAATTAAATATATTATTATATGAATGTAAGAAATGCCATTACTTATTCACTCTCTCTCTCATATCTCATACATATGATTTGTGGATAAAAACAAGTCAGAATATATATAAATAATACCATTCAGCCATGCTAGCTAGCTCAGCTTGAAGGGTCTTATATGCATATTTCTGGTTTATCTTATCTTCTACTCTCTTTCAGCTCAGGTTTCTGTTCATTATTACTCCATCTTCGTTCTGATCTAGTACGTTGTAGCTAGCCATGGCGGGCGGGCAAGGTCTGAACAAGCCATGCATTCTCCTCATAGGTAACTAACTTCACGTCGTACATACAATACAATGAACAACCTTAATTAATAGCTTCGTTTTGGTTTTTTAATTTGGGGTGTTTTTAATGGATGTTTGGATGGAGGGAGCAGTGATAGCGGGGATGGAGAGGTTCACGTTCAAAGGCGTGGCGGCGAATTTGGTGACGTATCTCACGGATGTGGCGAAGATGAGCAACTCGTCGGCGGCGAAGCTGGTCAACAATTGGTGTGGCTTCACCTCTATGGTGCCGCTGCTGGTGGCGCCGTTGGCCGACTCTTACTTGGATAGCTATTCAACTATTTTAGGCTCTGCATTTTTCTATATTCTGGTACTGTACTACTACCTACCTAACTATAATTAACCTTATTAATTACCTGCTTTATTTGTTTGAAAAATACTAAACTTCTATTCGCTCCTCAGACATCTAGGTTGTAGAATGTGGACGACTTTTCTTGGACCCACAAAATAAAAATGTCTTATCACATCAGGAAGTATAATTAATGAAGTAAAATTTGAGTCTTTTAGAATTCTATTTGTTAATAGTTGACTACACAAAAACATTGGTAAGATAGTTGAGTTGATAATCAGTTCTAAATTGAATTTTTTATGAGCGTTGTCTATTGACTAATTTATTTTCTCAATTTCAAATTTAACTTCCCATTAGAGCACATTTTTCACGTAATTAGCTTCAATAATTCGCAGTTGGCGATGACTGGACGCCATTCGATCGGTGGAAGTCGACGTTTAGGCCATTCGTCTCACCATATATAATATTTGAAACCCGAGTCATCCCCCACTCCCAGGCCACTAAGAAAATTCAATTCACCGCTACTATTGCCAACGTTGTATGTTTAGGAAATTTAATACGGAGTATATATTATGAATGGAACAGTAAAGTAAGAACGTGTGAAAAATATACATATATGTCGGGTTTTGAACGATGATTCTGACCATTTACAGGGGCTGATAGCGTTGACATCAACGGCGATGGGGTGGCCGCCGGGGAGTAATAATGCCCAGAAAATTAGCTCTTCTTCCCTCTCATGGCCGCTCCACTTAATTTCACTGGGCCTGGGTGGCTACAACCCATCCTTGCAGGCCTTCGCGGCGGATCAGCTTGGAGATGAAGACGACGGCGAGCTGCCGTCAACCAAGAACGGCGACAAGAGCTCCGTCAAGAAGAGTTTGTTCTTCCAGTGGTGGTATTTCGGCATTTGCTGCGGCAGTCTTCTGGGAGTCTCAGTCTTGTCGTATATCCAGGACACAATAGGATGGGGCGTTGGCTTCGCCATTCCCACCATCGCCATGATAGCTTCCATTCTCGTTTTCTTGTCTGCCAACCGCCTCTACCAACACAACAATTCCAAAGAAATATCTCTCGACAAAATGATCCATGCCATCAAAGACGCGGCGTCAAGATTGAAAAACCGCGGCGAAATGTCGCTGCCCAGCAGCAAACCAGACACTGTTCATGAGCTTGAGTAAGTCTATAGTGTTAGAAATAAATAATCTAATCTTATAGAAGCCGAAACAATGTTGATCTTCAGTTACAGTTGACAGTTGATGTTCCTGTTGTGTTGCTTTTTAACTCTAGACTGTTAGCTATTATTTGTCTTATACTTGATTCAGAAGCCTAGAGGGTATATTAGTGTCTTTTAAGCACTACGAGTATAGAATGTATTTTATAATGAATATACTCTATCCCATCAAGGCATAGAGTCTTGTCGAATAACAACTTATAGTTATTCGATCAATCCTACCAACCCCTTAATAAGCCTAGTCAACTTGCAACGCATAATTAAGTAAGTCTACTTTTCTTTCAATATTGTTGTTAATCTTTTTATTATTGTTGCTAGGCTTCAAGAAAAGCCACTGTTCAGTGAAGATTCAGATGAAGATGACAGTAAGAGTGGGGAGAAGAAGGTGCAGGACAGTGGCGGCGGCATCAATGTCGTGAAGATTGCGCGAGTAGTGATCCGTTTATTACCTGTCTGGACGTTGCTTTTAACGTTTGCAGTTATCTTCCAGCAACCAGCGACATTCTTCACCAAACAAGGCATGACGATGAAGAGAAACATCGGACCCAATTTCAAGATCCCACCCGCCGCGCTTCAGAGCGCGATCACAGTGTCCATAATTCTTCTCATGCCTCTGTACGACAAGTACTTCATCCCCCTCGTTCGCGTCTTCACCCTCAACGACAAAGGCGTCACCGTGCGGCAAAGAATGGGGATCGGAATGTTTCTGTCGGTGATAGCCATGGTGATTGCCGCCTTCACGGACACAAAGAGGCTCGAAATCAGCAGAAATCCCGAGAATCTAAGCTCAGAAACAGTGCCGATGAGCATATTCTGGCTGCTTCCGCAGTACATCCTCCTCGGAATCTCCGACATCTTCACCGTGGTCGGGATGCAAGAGTTTTTCTACTCCGAAGTCCCGGCGAACATGAGAACCTTAGGGATAGCTCTGTACACTAGCGTCTTCGGTTTCGGAAGCTTCTTCAGCTCCCTGCTTATCTCCATTGTAGAACATTTCACAAGCTCCTCTGCAAATCAGCATGGGTGGTTCTCTGATGATATGAAGGAAGCCCGTTTAGATAATTATTATTGGTTTCTCGCCGTGTTAAGTGCTGTCAGCTTGATCTTATTCGTAATCTTCTGTAAGTTTAATGGTTCTTGAAAGTTAATTTCAATCTGGATTTTATTATGCTCTACCAGTTTGGAATGGACTGTCAGTAACATATGTAAATATTATTTTTGTAATTAATGTTGCGGCTAGCTACAATCATCAATCAATCTTCTAATATGTGAATTACATAAATTATTAATATTAAGCAAGGAATCTAATTATTGTTGTTGTACGAGGAATCTAATCATAAAAAAACTGGGGATTCTGCGGGTTCGGAATAAAGAGTTGTGATTCCTTCAACATCGTCTTCGTGTAATACTCTGCTCTTGACACCAGCATTAATAGATGGCCACATGACAGATTCGCGTAGGTTACTATGAGCAAGTCCGAGGAGATGTCCGATTTCATGCAACGCTACGGACTGGATATCCATCTGGTCCGGCAAAGGATCTGCGGACCAAGGCTCGTCAGCATCGATGTGAAACAAGCCGCCGGTGGGTGCTTTGGCGTGGGCCAGGACGCCGAAGGGGCCGTCAAACGGGTACCCATCGCCGTGATCGCCGACGAACAAAGCAATCTTTAGATCTGCGGTTGCGTAGTCGGTTTCCGAGAACGAGAAATGGCTCTTATCGGCCCATTCCGCGAACGCCATTGCCACCTGGGGAATGAACTGCGGCGGCGTGCCCGGTGCGAATCCATATGTCAGGTGGCTCAGTCCGTCCGGCCACCTCAGCTGGCCGTCGAAGAAAACGTAACGCGAAACGGCGTGAAAGGATCCGAGCCGGCGGCGGCGGATTATCCCGGAGGGACGCTGCATCAAGTTCTGGCCGTTGACTATATCCGCCACCCCGCACCGCGGCGTCGCCATCAGCGACACGGTTTCCGCGTCCAAAACTCCGGTGGCTTTGAGGCGGTGATTGGTCTGGTAAGTTTTGACGGCCGACTCTAGGAAATCATCGAAACCATCATTTTCCTCTTCTCCATTGATAGTGAAAAAATCCTCCAAATAACCAAACCTTTTAAGATAATTCTTGAGATGTTTTAGCCCTTCAGCGTTGTCACCTTTCCGACATCCTTGCAAACGTTTGATAAACTCGAATGTGGAAGGTGGTTTCTCCCCTGCAGCCGGCGCCGTCGGCGGCTCTGCGTAGGAAGGGAATAGGACGATAAGTAAGCATACACATGAGAGTAGCGGAGAGGCTTTGAGTGACATGGTTAGGTGATATGAAAAACTTCGAAAAAAATTGTAGTATTTATCTTTGATTGATGCGATTTACTTACTATAATTACTTTCAAACGCATATGATAATTATACATTTATATATAGCAACGTAGTTATTTATTCCCATGTGCAGTAATTTGATTCCTTTAATTTTGGAACACGTCCTAATAAGACTAATAAAATTACTTTTCTTTGCACACATCTTCTTTTCTTTTATCTTTTATCTTTTATGTTTGAGTGAATTTCTTTTTGGTCCTGCTGTTATAGGGGCGTTTCCAATTTCAGTCCACTTTAATTTTTTTTGCCACTTTACAACCACTGTTATTGAATGTGTTCCACTTTTAGTCCACTGTTAATATTTCCGTCAAGAGGCTGTATAATCAAAGGGTATTTTGGTCTTTTTATGTTTGTCTCTTCTCTTTTAATCCAGGCGCTTCGTCCTCCTCCTCCGATATTCGAAGATGGCGCTTCAAACAACAAGAATGGGAAGCCAAAGCTACATCATTTCGTTCGTTCCAACATGGGCCGATGAGGTTTCTTAATTTTTAGGTTTAATGTTCTCATTTCTTTAGTCAAACATAGTATTGGATGAGAAAAAATGTCAAAATACCCCTAGATTTCACGGCCTCTTGATAAAAATACTAACGGTGGGACTAAAAGTGGAACACATTCAATAATAGTGGTTATAAAGTGGCAAAAAAAATTAAGGTAGACTAAAATTGGAAACGCCTCTATAACAGTAGGACCAAAAATGGAATTCACTCTTTATCTTTTATCTTTTATCTTTTATATATATAATAAAGCAGAATCTAGCCACAAAATTTTCTCTCCAAAGTGTGAATGCATTTTGATAGAAACAAGATTAGAAGTATAAATGCATTAATTGTGTGGGTAGATGTATTTATACATATATTTTTGGGAAAATGGCACCTTTTCCCCCTGTGTTATATGCTTATAGCACTTTTTTCCCCTGAGTTATTCATGCATTCACATTTGCCCCCTCAATTATTATAGAAGTGGCGGTTTTTCCCCCTGATAATATTAAATTGACATTTCTACCCTTAAAATAAATATTTTACTTATTTCTCTTCTTCACCAAATTATTGCTTATACGTAGGGATGACCACGGTTCGGTTCGAACTGAACCAAACACTATAGCAATCAAATTAAAAAATTTCGGTTATGATTCATAACATAACCCAATATTTGGGTTTCCGTTTATTAAAATCGTGAACTAGAAAAAATGGATCTTGAACCGTGAACTTGAGGTTCAAATCGGAACAACTACTAGCAATAGCTTAAATTATAATTATAATATTTGCAAATAGTGTATGTTTTTTTTTTTTTTCCGCATTTATATTGACTCTCACATATAAGTATATATAGTCGCGATTTGAGTTTTATTTTGAACCGTCGGTTCACGATTTTGGATCCAATTTGAACGGTTGGTTCAAACTTTCTTTTAAAATTTTATTTTTTTATTTTTAAAATATTTTAAATTTAACACTTAATGTATTTTATTTTTTCAAATTGTGGTTATAATTTGTTGGAGAAGAAAAATAAATTAAATATTTATTTTAAGGGTAAATATGTCCATTTAATATATCAGGGGGAAAAACTGCCACTTAAATAATTTAGGGGGAAAAAATGCTATAAGTATATAACAAAGGGGAAAAAGTGCCATTTTCCCTATATTTTTGAAATTATTATGTGTATTTATATTTTATAAATTATACTTTATTATTATAGCTCTATCTCTGTCTCTATCTCTATATATATTAAAGCATAATAAAGTATGAAAAAAAATTTATTGTGTTCAAAATTGTTGGTAAAGTTTTATATTTAATATAATTTGTGTATATATTCATTTAAATCTCAATTATATTTAATTTGACTCCACATATATAAAGATGACAAAATAGATATAAAATAAATATTGATGGTTTTTGGGTTTTCGGGCCCAAGGAGGTCCAACACAACCTTTCAGCTGGAGGATACACCTTTCAATAAAGCTTGCTAAAATAATATGGGCTCGATGATTTTTACGTGGAAACCGAAAGGTGAAAACCACGGGCCTTTTTGGGCGGTGCCAAGCCTAATTCCACTATGCATTTGGTAGGTGTCTTTTGTACATATTGTATGGCTATTTTATATATAGGAATATTGTGTAGGGAAAGAACTATACTTTATACATAGAGAGGGAGTATTCTTCTTGATGGAATGATGGTGGAGTCTTCTTCATGTGTGGAAGAGTGATGGAGCCTTCTTGACATATTGTGGAATGAGGCCTTCTTGGGAGAGTAGTTGTGTGAGAGAGGTAGTAATCTTCAAGTATGTAGGAAGAGTGCTTGGGAGAGTCCTCCCATGTGTGTATGAGTGAGTGAATGGATGGCCCCCCCTTTTCTTCTTGTCTTCCCCCCTTCTTATAGCTAGCTCCTCAAAAAGTGTCCGTTGGGGCATTTAGTAGAGGATTTATGGGTGGTTTCAAGAGGGTAGTGAATAGGTGTTTATGTTAGGGGTTATGGATAATAATAATAATAATAATAATAATAATAATAATAATAATAATAATAATAATAATAATAAGATGGGGTAATAAGTGGGAGGTTAGGAATGGTGGGGTAGTAAATAGGACTTTTAAGGGTAGATAATTAGGAATTTAATAGGGGCTAACGGCTAGTTTTAGGCCGACCCTCCACCCGTGCCGATTCCACACTCGTGCCGACTCCCGGGTCGAGCCGACTCCTCGGCTGGTCCCGTATCTCTTTTGGGCTTACTCCATTTTCCTCTTGGGCTTTGATTCTTCTTCTTGGGCTTGATCTTTTTTCTTCTTGGGCCCCGAGCCCACGGGGTTCACACCCCATCAACTAGTCCCTCACTTTTCTATGTCTCGCGCTTAGCAGGACATGGAAAAGTATATTGTCTTGCCTCAAAATTATCCCCCTTGATTCTTGCCGACTCTTTATTCAAGATCCCACACGACTCCATCCTCATGACTTCTCTCCGTTTGCCATATGACCGACTGCTTCAGTGGATGTGACCCTCCGGCTTCGAGCCCCTTCTTTCTTTAGCCGTTGAAGTGAATCTCGGCTGTAACTTTTTCTTTCTTTAATAAACTTCTAAGGGTTCGGACCCTCGATTCCTTCTTTATTCGCCGAGTCCCTCAGTCGAGGCGACTCTTCGGTGGTAGCTTCTTTTCCCTCTAGAAATGTCTAAGGGTCGGAGCCCTGGTTTCTTTTCTCTTTTTCTCTAAGAAACGTCTAAGGGCCGGAACCCTTGTTTCTTTTCTCTTTTTCTTTTGCCGAATCCCTGCTCGAGGTCATTCGTTTGGCTTTTTCTCTTAAGAAACGTCTAAGGGTCCTGGCCCTTGTTTCTTTTCTCTTTTCCTCCAAGAAACGTCTAAGGGTCCTGGCCCTTGTTTCTCTTCTCTTTTCTCGCCGAGTCCCTCAGTCGAGGCGACCCCTGTAGGCTTTTTCTTTACTTAGAAACGATTTAGGGTCAGTGCCCCGTTGTTTCTTTAATTTCTCGCCGAGTCCCTCAGTCGAGGCGACTCCTGTAGGCTTTTTCTCGGAAACGTCCAAGGGTCTGGGCCCTTGTTTCCTATCTTTTCTCGCCGAGTCCCTCGGTCGAGGCGACCCTTTTGGCTTTTTCTTTCTTAGAAACTGTTTAGGGTCAGTGGCCCATTGTTTCTTTATATACTCGCCGAGTCCCTCAGTCGAGGCGACTCCTGTAGGCTTTTTCTCGGAAACGTCTAAGGGTCTGGGCCCTTGTTTCCTATCTTTTCTTGCCGAGTCCCTCGGTCGAGGCGACCCATTAGGCTTTTTCTATCTCAGAAACAGTTTAGGGTCAGTGCCCCGTCGTTTCTCTCAATACTCGCCGAGTCCCTCAGTCGAGGCGACTCCTGTAGGCTTTTTCTCGGAAACGTCTAAGGGTCTGGGCCCTTGTTTCCTATCTTTTCTTGCCGAGTCCCTCGGTCGAGGTGACCCATTAGGCTTTTTCTATCTCAGAAACAGTTTAGGGTCAGTGCCCCGTCGTTTCTCTCAATACTCGCCGAGTCCCTCAGTCGAGGCGACTCCTGTAGGCTTTTTCTCGGAAACGTCTAAGGGTCTGGGCCCTTGTTTCCTATCTTTTCTTGCCGAGTCCCTCAGTCGAGGTGACTCTTTTGGCTTTTTCTAAGGGTCCTAGCCCTTGTTTCTTTTCATTTTCTCTCGCCGAGTCCCTGCTCGAGGCGAGTCCTGGCTATGATTATTCTTTTCTAACAAATTTCTGAGAGCTTGGACTCTTGGTTCTTTCTTTACTGACTCGCGTCTTTTAGTCGGGGTGATTCTCGGTTGTAGCTTTACTTTTCTTTCCTTTATGTAGCCCCTTGTAGGTTAAAAATTCCATGAGCAAGTGAATTTTGGAAAAGTTTTCCTCGGGTTGTGCGGCACATGTGACTGGAAATTAAGCCTGCCCCACGTGCAGAAGAATCCATCCTCCAGACTCCCATAAGGGAATATACCCGGTCAGACTCTTGGAGTCGGCTTTGAATCGCATACGAATTGGCGGCCTTACCCGGTCAGGCTCTTGGTGTCGGCCTTTGAATAAAAGGGCGGACCTCCTCAATCTGTCTCATATTCTTTAGTATTTCTCCGTGGTGCAAGAATTTTAAAATCACACTTTTATGAGGAAAAAACATTCTCATATTAAGGCGAGAGGGATTAATCCCTGGCCTCCTGATTTCCTTCCATAATCTTTTACCAATCCTACGCAATTGAGTTTTTTTTTTGAATCTCCACCGCCTGAAATTTTAACATACGCCAAGATAGCGCATTAAGACCACCATGAGCAAGTTATGAGATATGCAGAGTTCCCAAAACGTAGGTCCACCGTGTGGCTTGTTTTCCTTTAATGCGTTGCCCCCCTTACTAACTATGTTACCATACGGCAATTCGCAGTAGTCGCTGCTTCTTTTCCGGTTGCATGAAATTCTATCGCACTCGGCACAGCAA